CACTATTTCACTCGCTATCGTCAAACTCGAGGTTGGCAGAAACCAGTCCTTAAGCAATATTTTAGGTTACGATGAAGTGATACGCATCACAAACATACTCGCACTGTTGATTGATTAAGGAGGTCAAGAGACCCTGAGTTTTGTCAAGGTATTCACCAATCCAGTCAAGAAGTCTGTTTCGCTTTTGAACTTGAGGCTACACATATATCAGAGAGTCGATGGGAGTTGGTCGTCAACTTTCTGGATACATGGAGGGCAAATTGTAAAGACATACTACATTGACTAGGTGGACTCAAGTGAATGACCACACTTTGATCCTGTTTGCGTGTTTCGGAGACAAAATATACAACCATAGTGTGAGATCCCAAAGTCCTAGATAAGGAAGCCTGTTGGCCTACTTTATATAAGATCCGAACACTGACAGCCTCAACATGTAGTTTCAACATCAGGTTTTAAAAGACCAGAAATAACTTCTCATGAACTCAAATAATTGCATAGGTGGCACTTGAAGATAAACATAAAATCATAGAAGTATTGACAGTGGCGATAGAAGTAATATTAAGTGACGATGGGATCTATTTCACCATTACCAAGATGATCTCTAGTGTTATTAGAGGTAAGAGAGTGGTTGTCATTTTCCGTTTGTCCACACAGAGGAATGGTATTTCTTCCTGAGGGACTTGAGCGGGAGACTGGGTAAGAGGTGATCTTGAAGTCCTGGGAGCGCGGGCCAAGAGACAACCACTTAAGGCCGGTCACACATAACTATTCTATAAGAATTACTTAATATGGTACTTCCAGGTTTCAAAAGGCTTTACTATCGGGGAAGGAAACCAGTAGGATGTGGTGAGGTGACACTTTTACAGTCAAATGACTCATAACCCAACAGATAAATACACTGAAGACTAATGATATAATTTAAACTGATGATAAGAATATAGAAAATTCAAATGTTAGGCCCTGACTGTAACAAATTAAACATTAAAATTCAAATATACTATCACTGGTTTATAGGAAAAAATTCATATTTTTAGGTGGAAAAGATAAAAAGTATACCGTTAATAAGAAAAACCAAATTTCAATTTACTTGATGACAGTTTTCTGCTTAACTAAATACGAGTCAAGTTATCCCGAGTAGGAAACACTATCCATGATACTTAGATTAAGGTACATATAAAACAGTTCGAGCCCATAAAAATTTGATAACTAATCACAGAAACCCTAAAATACTGTACCAAGGACTAATGGAAAGATGTAAATCCATAAAATGCTTAGATTTTTAAAAAGCCACAACATCAGCAGCAAAAATTAAGATCGATTTAACTCTACTGATCAGTATAACATGATGTTTATATATATATATATATATATATATATATATAATTTAAATGTTGACATATACTGAAAATTGAACCGTTTTATGCTGTCAGAACATAGCTATTAAGTTATTTGATTTTAAAATAAAAAACTGAACATGATATAACATTACAAACTCTTTGATGAGTTCAACATTTATGTCATTTTGAAATATAGGAATATCATGACCCAGAGATACTGATGTCATGGAAAGAACAGGTACCCATTACCACATAGAAAATATACTGGTATTTAACAATTAGATAAACATCATAGCTTACAAAAATAGTACGTATTTTATATGAAAATAATTATTTTTGCATTGGATAAATTTGTGTTATCCATAAAAATAAACGACAATATTAGGTTGATTAATGAAGTGTTTGTGCATCAAGGAGTGTTAGTGTGTAATAGTTTGACTTGATTTAAGTCATGGCTCCCAAAAGGTGCTTGTTATGATTTCTCTTATTACGACCCAGCTATTATTGCTTAGTGATCTTGGACACTAATTTACTCGACAAGTCCCCAAATCAGAACACGGTTGAACAGGAACGTAATTATATTCCAAATAACTAGGGTGGGTGGAAGTAGGAATTACAATAAGAAAAACGTTAGTATATAATTTTTACATAAGATTCTACGGTCTCCACCAAGCATCTTCTAGCACTGATTGGTCAAGAAATCGACAATCAGCGTGCCCAAACACAGTCCTGCACGGAACATACTTTAATACAATCTATATCCCACTAACAGTGCTCATTTGAAAGTAAACATTTTTTAAGTAATTGTGAGAGCTTCTGACACTAATCGACTTCCAAAGTCAGAATTATTGATGTAGAATTTGAACCTCCAACTTATATTTGGAGACAGTAGATAAGTTTCATGCTTGTGAAGTGTTATTTTGTGTTCAAATAAATAAATAAATGTGAAGTGTGATTACACTCTTCAAAGAAACATCTATTATGGTGAGAGACATTAACCACCAACTGATTTACTGCTGGCGCAACTTGACGCCTATAGAACTAAAATGTTCACAGTAATTCGTCTCTGAGTAACAAAGAATATGATGGCACAACGTATACGCTTTATCTGCGTAAAGATAAAAATTCAGAATTTGTTATTCGAAAATAAACTCTACAATCTTAAGATCAGTGTTAAAGCGGTTTTTTTCTTTTTCGCGGTTAGTACGGTTGATAGAAGAGAAACTATCGAAAAGTAGTCACCATAATTGACAGCCTGAATTGAAGAATACTTTCTTATCGTTAATATTATTAATATACATATATGTAAAACACTCGAACTCTCTTAAATAAACAGTGATAAACGAGTAGAAGGTAGAGATAACCGTGCCCCCAAACGCCCTGGTATGGCCAGGAGCGGGGTGGGTTCGCCCTCCCTCTCGAAATACTTTCACACGGCCGCGCGTATACAGCCTCTGCCAGGGAAGTCCTACTCACTGCCTTCTCGTGACGGGGGTGTTGTTTACGAAAATGAGAGGACGAAAAGCGAATGTCCGGCGCTTTAACCGGATTCCAAATCTATGGTGCACATGGGCACCAGTATCCTGCGGGAACAAATGGAGTATGAACCAATTTTCGGTCACCGGCTACCATGGGATTGCATCTCCTTACGATGCTCCACTGCCTTGTGGGTTAGACCTTTAGGTCAAAGGCTCGAGGAGTGGCCCCCTAAGATAACCACCTGCTTCGGTCTGGGCACCCGGGCAGTGTCGCAGCCCACACGCAATTAATGAACTGAAGTTGTGTGGGGCATATATATTTGGCGCACTCCTGTACCAATAAATGTGTTCAAATAAAATAAATAAAATAAGAGATAACCGTACGTCTTTTTGGATGTAGGACCCTATTTTGTACAAGCTCCGAATGTGAAAATCTATGTGCAAGAAAACATCAACTTTTACATGATAGCCGTAAATATAAACATCCCATACATGTTTGCACACAAATACCCTCATACACATACAACTATTTAGAGTTGAACTTCGTCGTGACATACCCCAATTTCAAATGCAAAAGTTATAAAATAATGCATTTTTAAGTAAAAAATTATATCAATATATAGCAAATGGTACGACAGAGGGTTGGGAGATTCAGCTTTCCCTCTCCAAATGCTATCACATGACCACGCTTATACCACCATTCCCAGGGAAATCCTACTCACTGCTTTCCCGCAGCTGGGGTGCTGTTTACGAAATTGACAGAAGAAAAGTAAATGTTCGGCGCTTTAACTGGGTTGGTGAGTACGGAGGATCCAGCTAGGGGAGTTGGAATGTGAACACTATACTGGATGAGTAAAGATAATTTTCCACAAATTGATGAATGAAAAAAGGCAATAAACTCAACATATTTAAGTTAAAACCTTTAATGAAATTAGAAGCTTCATTTTAAGTTCATATAAAAGATCTTTCGCGACTTTAATTTGGGATTCCGCTACACGACAAAAGATTTTCGGGGATAAAAGCAATATTTATTTGAATCAATTTAATTAATTGGCAAAAATCTTAACCTGAAATAGTCGTGGATCCAACAATTAATAAAAAAGAAGTCTCATTGATGAGCTGATTAACTGAACTACCGTGATTATTTTATTTTATTTGGACACATGAATATTGGTACAAGAGAGCGCCAATATATATGCGCCACACAAAACACAATGAAAATTCGAGAGGAATACAAAGAAAGAAAGAAAAGCTAAGGAGCGCAACAAAAAAAAGAGAGAACAATAACGAAGAGATTGGTGTAAGGTAATGTGCTAGTAATCAGGGAACGCAAAGGTACAATCGGAAGAAATCTTTCAAGTAAGAGAGACACAACCACTTTTTATGAAGAAAGTAAAAGAAGGTTACAGCAGGATCGCCACTGGCTTCTATTCTGAGCCATATCTGATTACGTCTCTAGCCACTGTGTAGCCCCATCTCTCAGACCCCAACTACCGTGATAACTATGAATATTAATTAAGTTATCGTCAGTCAGCTACAACGTAGGACCAGACACATCTATGCATCGGTTCAAGTCGCCATAACTCATTAGCACAACAAGAACACCGGATTCATAAAAGTAGTGGTGGTAATATATAAAAGAAAGATTGCATATAAGGATATAGTACAGGAAGAATTAGTTTGTAGAAATAAAGATATGAAGCCATTTTAATCTCATGCACAGAGAGTGTATACACCTACGCCACTGTGACCGATTTTGAGCCATCTCACACAAAGTCTCCGACCATTCGTTACGATAGTCACACGGACCTCAACCAAGTAACCTGCATCTACCAGCATAGCTTACGAATATCTTCAACTCTTAATGGCAACGTTTCGCAGCCGTAAAGTAAAACAGAACGAACTGCCACGCAGTAATGAAAAGCCACCTCAAAATTTACTGTTTTTTGATAATATTGATTGTCATTTTTTTAAAAAACTTTTAACAACATTTTTTATATTCACAAAATGTTTTGATTCATCAAGCAGTTGACAATAAAATGATTGTAGGAATCACCCTTATATTCTAAGTCAGTTAGCACAACTGTGTGAAGCGTATGCTTGACCAGAACACTGAAGTGCTTTAATGAGGAAATTTTAAAAGCAAAACACACCCAATATTAATAAGGAATACCCAGTATCTCACCCTCTGCAACTGTTCCCGTAAGCTTTTTTCCTTCATTTCCAAATCATCTGTTGATAGATACTGTGAAGAAAAAAACAAAGGGAAAGAGTAAGATAATGTGAATTTCGGGACTAATTATTAGACTATTATGTCTGATTAATCCCAAATGAAAATAAAATCGCTGTTAGACTACAAAGTTTTGAATGATTGCACGCCTAAACGAATTTTCACCGCTAATGATTTATACGTACATGCGCAGAATACTTTAAAGACCAGTCGAATCAGCGTAAAGCATTTACACAGCTGTAAATCATTTTGCTATTATCAGATAAGTACCAGAGCAGACAACCATTTTGATTGTAATTATCGCATGTGTGATGCATGATAAAACGTACACCTTAATAAATTTTGTTAGCAGTAGAGAAGTATATTTATCTAAGACTGTTAGTAGGGACGACTTAAAAGTTCTGAATATGGATACCAATCACTGAGTTTAAGTTTCTGAACACAGCCTTTAATGCTTTCTTAGATGGAGTCAGTCTGATTTATCAAGCTATCAAGTCAACATGTCATTCAAAAGTAAATATACAAAATAAACCCTATAACAAAATACTAAGAGCCCATCGTTTTTGTAAAGGACAATGACTCACAAAATGAAAGTCCCTTGACAATGGTACCAAGCACTCAAATTATTCATGGTTCTCAGCCCTAAACACAACTACTACTCCATAATAGCACTATTATTTGACTATATTTTCAGATGCCAGGATGTTTGGCATCAACTCGTAAATTCCATGAATTAAAATTGTACTAAGTAGGTTGGTGTATAACTCTTGGACAATCAATGGTGCACATGGGCACCAGTATCCTGCGGGAACAAATGGAGTATGAACCAATCGTTGGTCACCGGCTACCATGGGATTGCATCTCCTTACGATGCTCCACTGCCTTGTGGGTTAGACCTTTAGGTCAAAGGCTCGGGGAGTGGCCCCCTAAGATAACCACCTGCTTCGGTTTGGGCACTCGGGCAGTATCACAGCCCACACACAAATTGATGAACTCTTTATGCCTATGGAAATTACCTTTCTCGCTTTGAAAAACAATCAATTGATTCAAATTATAATCATTACTATTATTGTCATTATTAATACTATTATTATTACTATTATTGTCATTATTATTATTATTATCATTATTATTATTTTCCACATTATTCACCCTCTTTTATACTTATACAGCAGCTCGTCTTTGGTGGAAATTCGACTGTATCTAAACGTTCTCGAGTCACTGTCCGGTTGAAAATTGTATGTTACCACCGAATATGAGTACTGAAGCAGTTTTTCTGAAACCACGTGCGCCGTTCAAACTGGCTGCCTTTAACGTTCGCACATTTATGCAGGTCGGACAACAGATAGGGCTGGCTATGTCTTTGGAAAGTCTTCATATCGATGTCTGCTGTCTATCCGAGACCGTATTCAAGACTCTGGCGAAGTACTACAAATTCGCTCTACATCTGTCACTTCAAAAAGTTTGTTTTACGTGCGCTTATCCAGAGATCCTGTGGCATCTTCGTCTGGTGTTGCTGGCGTTGGTGTCGCACTAAGCGCTAGAGCTGAGGCAGCACTAGTCGATTGGATCCCCATTAACAGTCGGTTATATGCCGTTAGATTAGAAAGTTCCATCAAAGTGAGAAGAAATCGGTGTGAGGAACGATGTCTCTTCGTCATCTCCGCCTATGCCCCAACAGATTGCAGCCCGGATGTAATCAAGGATGAGTTTTACAACCAGTTATCTGTTCTTCTCCAGAAAGTGCGTTCGACAGATATTGTAGTACTAACCGGAGACTTGAATGCTCAGGTCGGGCGTCTAGGCACAGAAGAGAATTGTTTAGGTGGCCGATGGTGACTCGTTGGTCGCAGGTCAGATAACGGGGACCGTCTACTGCAACTGTGCACAGACCACAACCTGTTTCTGGCTAGCACTAACTTTCGGCACAGCCATCGCCGATCTGCCACCTGGCGTCCCCCCTCTGCATCCCAAGCCTGGACTCAGATTGATCACATCGCGTGGTTGTGTACAAGACTGCCGCTCCTTTTGGAGTACCTATCTGAACTTTGACCATGCCTTGGTCTGCGCCAACCTTGCCTTACTTTTCAGTGCACAACGAAGTGAACGCCATCAACGGATTGATATTAGCAAGCTGGTTGCAACTTTTGTTGCAAGTAAGTATCGAACCGAGCTAGCCTCTAGGCTAGCTACCATTCCACCGAAAAGTATAGATGAGCATTGGTTGCAATTGCATGACGCCATGAAAATGGCGGGTACAGTCAGTTGTGGCTTCGCGAAACGTCACGCTTATAAGCACTGGGTTTCTTCTGGTTCCTTACAACTCATTGAAGCCCGTCGGTCTACTCAGGGTGACCGTGAGTTTGACCACAAACGAAGGATGTTACGTGAGGAAATTGGGCAAAGCTTGCGTAAGGACCGAGAAGCCTGGTGGTCGATGCGTGCTAATGAGCTGGAAGCAGCAGCTGCATCTGGTAACTACCGGAAGCTCTTCCAATTCATCCGAGCCACTGGCAGCAAGAAGTCTGGTGTGAGTGAAACAATCTGCGAGGATGATGAGATGCCAATCACTAACATCCATCGACGTCTTGGACGATGGGCAGAATTTTTCGAAGGCCAGTTCAACTGGCCTGCTGCTCCGGCAACATCAGTCAGACTGTCCTGCCCTCCATGGCCGGTGACGATTGATCCACCAAACGAGGAGGAAGTCTGCAAGGAACTCCAACTCTTGAAGCGTTACAAATCACCTGGCCCAGATGACTTACTTCCAGCTCTTTTTAAAGATGGTGGTGACTTTTTGACTATGGAATTGACGACGTTGTTTACAAAGGTTTGGGAACTAGAGAGTGTACCAACGTCATGGAATGAGTCGATAGTTGTCCCTATCTTTAAAAAGGGTTCACGTCGTTCTTGTAACAACTATCGGGGGATAAGTCTACTTCCGATTGCGTCCAAGCTATTGGCTTCCGTCATTCTTCGTAGGTTGTTCAAAACCCGAGAAAGATTGACTCGCGAGGAGCAGGCTGGGTTTCGTTCTGGTCGAGGATGTATTGATCATATCTTCACCCTCCGCCAAATGTTAGAACACCGCCATACTTATCAAAGGCCAACAATCGTAGTGTTTCTTGACATCAGGGCTGCATTCGATTCGTTGGATAGGACTGTTCTCTGAGACTGTCTATTGAAGAAGGGTGTGCCTGAGAAGTTTATTAACATCCTAAAAGCCCTATATAAAAACACCTCAGGGAGAGTGAGGGCATACAACCACCTGTCTTCATTGTTCTATTCGAGCAGTGGGGTTAGGTAGGGTTGCCCAATCTCACCATTCCTCTTCAACTTTGCCATCGATGACACTCTGGAAACAGCTCTGATGAATGTAAGTAATGGTGGTGTGGATCTGTTGCCTGGAGAAAGACTTCTCGACCTTGAGTATGCGGACGATATTGTCTTACTGTGCGATAATGCCCAAGATATGCAATCCGCACTTAATCAGTTGGCAATCAGTGTCCGTAGGTATGGTATGTGCTTTGCACCTTCGAAGTGCAAAGTACTTCTACAAGACTGGCAGGATTCTAACCCTGTACTCACCCTGGATGTTGAGCAGATAGAAATAGTTGAGAAGTTCGTTTATCTGGGTAGCTGCATAAGTGCTGGTGGTGGCGTGAGTGATGAGATCAATGCACGTATAGTGAAAGCCAGAGCGGCTTATGCCAATCTGGGCCACCTTTGGCGCCTTCGTGATATTAGTCTGGTCGTAAAAGGTCGGATCTACAACGCGTCGGTGAGAGCAGTTTTGCTCTATGCTTGTGAAACCTGGTCACTCCGAGTTGAGGACGTTAGACGACTCTGTGTTTGATCATCACTGTCTCCGAAGGATTGCTGACATCCAGTGGCAACATCATGTTAGTAATGCAGAGGTTCGGCATCGTGTATTCGGACACAGACGCGATAATGCAATTGGTGTCACCATCTTGAAACACCGATTTCGGTGGCTTGGACATGTTCTCTGAATGTCGTCCCAGAGAATTCCACGTCGTGCATTATTTGCCGACTCTGGGACTGGTTGGAAGAAGCGGAGAGGTGGTCAGTATATGACATGGTGTCGTGGCATGAAAGAAAGCTGCAAAGGGCTGGCTTGTGTCGGTCCTTCACGACTCCCTGGTTGGGGTCTGAGAAATGGTGCTACACAGTGGCTAGAGACGTTATCAGATATGGCTCAGAATAGAAGCCAGTGGCGATCCTGCTGTAACCTTTTACTTTCTTCATAAAAAGTGGTTGTGTCTCCCTTACTTGAAAGATTTCCGATTGTACCTTTCCGTTCCCTCAATACTACCACACTACCTTACACCAATCTCTTCGTTATTGTTCTCCTTTTTTGCGCTCCTTAGTTTTTTTTCTATTTCTCTTCGAATTCTCATTGTTTTGTGTGGCGCATATATATGGCGCTCTCTCTCTCTCCTGGACAATCTTACTAAGGCACATTTAGTTTAATAAACGCACTATATAGGGCATATCTGTGGAGTGCCTCTGGAGACACTTAAGAAATGGAAGATAGAATGCCTTTGAAAGCCGAAAACTTCATGAGTGCAGAGCCTCATCCAGTTAGAAATAATTCTTCAAACTACCAACTCCATAAAAACGCATTATAATCTACACGGTTACCATGTTCGATGCGTGGTTTGATACAAAATATTTAACTTGTAAACACTAGTTTGCAAACTAAGCATAAAAAAGCCAGACATGAATGGTGAACAGCCTTATATCATGAGTACATATATCGCGGTGACGAAATCTCGAAAACATATATTAACAAATCCCCACAGATCTTTTGATGATGATTTGTTTGCTAAACTTTCCCTTCTCGTCAGACACAAATTTGAAGCATCCAGGCAAGGAAAAACGTCTATTCAAATAAAACCGAAACATAACATAGGTCCTTACACTTCCCCAAACATGCATATCGAAAATCCTAAGACCCTGAGTCATTATACGCTCCTTTATCCACTAACAAATTTAGTTCTGGTGAACTTAAAGACCAACTCAACTGAAAAACCAAACGGCTAGCGACGAAACATCAGTAGCTGGCAATGCTTAAGTTAAGGTTTTCTAAAACTAGCTAACATACTTTTGTGTAACATTACTTACCTGTATATCACTTAGCTCAGCACGTCTCAAAGCCTCTAATGTGGATGTACTTTGCGATTCGAGGTCTTGAACTTTCCTTTAAGAATACAATGTAACCAAATTATAATCATACGACTCGGTTGCATTGGCTCGTTTTTCAGCATTTTCTTTGGCGAATTCTACATGTTTCAGATGAATTACAGTCTACAAATACAACAAGAGAGAAAAGTAGACAGACCTCGTCAACACGAGTCTGGACTTCTAGGCACTCGTTCCGCAATCGCATCAGCTCTGCCTCCAATTCATCTATTCTTGAGTCCTGGCTATAATTCTTGTTATTCAAGTTTTCCAATTTCCTAAAAATTTTCAAAAACGCAGTACTGAGTTTACCTAGAATGATGATCGTGACTATCTCTGTGATCAGAGAGCCTGTTAAGAGCATCCTTTAGTCTGTCATTTTGCATTTGACACTTCTGCTTAAGTAACATTTCTTTAGTAGCAAGTTCATACTGTTCTGAATTAACCTAAAAACACGTTATGGACAAAAAGAACTACGTACCTTGTGAGTTGCATCGACCACAAACTTAATTTGATCTTCAATGTCTGAAACTTTACTTCTCAAATCGTCTTCTTCTTCTCTAAATTCATTCAGTCGCTTTCTTAGAACATCCATCACTAACCATAATTTTCGGAAAACCGCTTCAGTGGGAATAATTCAGAATCTAAAGCATACAAACACATATATTGATCTCATTTCATATTTCGTTTATTTGCTATCCGATTTCTCCAGTATGACAACCTTGTGTAAACTGTTCCATCAATTTGCATCAGCTTCTTGCTTTTTCGGCACAGCTCCGGGTAGTCGGTAATCGATGGACGGTAGTCTAACCTCTCGACTATACTACTGCTGCTCAGTTTGGTAGTTAATTGTAGTCCTGCATATCCTTCAATCTGAGTGATCACATCGGTCGCAAAGCATCAGAGTTTATGGAAACAGTGGGTATCACATTACCAGGCAAAAGATTGGTTGGTTGCAATATGAAAAATAGATGGGCGAAAATTCGGATACTAGAACTTCAGGCAGTGTGAGACTGAAGTGTAAGAGTAAAAGAGGCATCGGAGATGATCATAGGCTTGACAGGTTCAAGCTAGTGGTATGTGGTAGTGGCAATAGTAGGTAAGTTATTAGACATGCATGAGGCACAGCTAGCCCAAACAAGAGATGATGATCCACCAGTGTTTACGTGTTCATGGGTAACTTCTCTCTACTGATTCTGAGACATGAACGTCTTCGACTAGAAGCTGGTCATTTCTTAGCGAATGGTCTAATTTTGAGTGACATTCATCTTTGCTCCATCCTGCGATGTCACCCACATTTTCTGTCGGTCCCGAACTTCATATGGCTGAACAAGTCTATTGTGAAATCGCCCTGTGGAGGTTGTGTTTTGCTTGTTGAGATTAAGGGATGCAGTGCTGAAATCCCTAGCTGGATATTACGAAATAACTGATGACTAATGTTGCGTGAAAGCACCACTAGTCAGAATCACGATTGATATGACTTAGCATCTCCGAGTTGACTAATTAAACGTCCAATCAGCACTAGTAACCCTGTGTTAACAGCTTTGTCTTTATTGGTCCACATCCCTTTAACTTCTCTTTCTACCCTGAACTTGAGTACATAAACCTGTGGCCAGACTCAAGATCAGATATTATATTTCAAGCACAAGTAGTTGTTCACAGCTATCAGACACGAAGACTTGACGGTCGTGAAGTATAACGAATGGGATAGCTCGAAAACGTTATTTGTCATCGTAGTATGAAGGCCTGAGTAACTTGATATCCAAATCCAATGTTGCATAGCTTGTTCGCTGACTTCGTCAGGACCATCCCTCTCCAGTTTGGTACTCCGTGAAACAATGATGACCGGTTATCGGGTGTTTGTTCGTTATGTTTGAGTGGTATCCCCTTCGGCACAACTTTTACCACATCGAAGTCAGGTTTGAGAGAACCGTTCAACCAATAGTCTCTGAGATGTTAACAAGACTTCTACCATAACGTTACTCTTAACTAAGTTTCTTTAAATTTCGCCACATTTGGGTCCGTATATCAGCGGCATTTTACTACGGAATTGTTATCCCTGCATTATGACCTACATCAGTATCCCTTGTAGTTTTAGTGTAATTACTATGGGCAGCATAGTTACTGTGCACATATAAAATAACGCTCAATTCTATTTCTCATATCAATGGAACACTAATTAGCCGCGGACAAATATCTACACCAAATACCCTCCTAATTTTTATTTAGCAGAACTTCGACACGACTGGGATCGAAAACACATGACTGGCCTGACCAGAACGTGAGTATATTTCCGTGTCAACAACTATTTATTATTTTCCTCGCCTACACATTTTGATAGGTTGAGTGAATTATCTGTATAGTTTGATCGTAGATTAAAGAGGGACATGTAGCCACGGAGAAGTAACTAACATAACTTCAAAGAAGAAAAAATAGAGAAATGAAACTAATGTTATGATGCAATTTGGACGTGTAGAGAGTCTGTGATATCTAGGCAAATTGCAAATTTGTTCGCGCCTGCATGTGAAAGTGGGAGTTTCAACAACAAATATTGTGAAATTTTTATCATCCATATGTCATGCGTATTTCGAGGGGAAGACTTTTTCATATTATTGCATACTTCATGACGAAGTTTTCTTGAAATTTTCTCCAGTATTTTTGGACTTTGACCGTGGACGTTTCATCTCAGATATCGTATATATCTGAGCCTTCGGCAAGCACTATATTTCGAGTGTAGTATGTGAGATTTCTGGGCTCGAGAAAGAGAACCATAGTGAACATAATCCCTTCTTCCAAAAAGGTTCAAGCCCCAGGATATGGTATCAGCAACGGTAGTCAATGAGTGGATCAGTTTTAAGCATTCTGAGTGTGAAATCTCATTGTATCCCTTCCACCTCCAGTACATGGTATGAGCGTAAGTCGGAAAATAAGAACAAAGTGTATTCAACGATAGGTCTTACACATAACTTTTAAAGAATGATTCCAAATTCCTTTCAAAACAGTAAAAAATTATAAAGTCTAGAAATCTTCGCAACTTCGATGCTTTAGTGGCGATGGGTTTAGACTGCGTGGGTAATACACTCCAAGGTCAGGCACTGAAGTGAGTTCGGGCAGTACATACTTGTTAACTTTCAGTCTCGTTTCCAACACATAGCTATAGCGTCTACACCAGTTATCTACTTTGTTCAGTTCATGCTCGAATGTTCGTGCAACGCTTGGCATGCGTCAGATGTTGGTTTCGCAGATGAGTTTTAAGTCATCAACGTAAAGGTAGGTCTTTCCGGAGTTGAAGTAGGTGCAAATGTTATTGATTTAGACTAGAAAAAGCAGTGGACTCAAAGCATTACCCTAAGCATTACTACTGATTATTGATCGAGGTGTGGATACCGTAGTTAATTTAATAATTCGGTTTGTTTGCAAGAGATTTAATCCATTGCAATATAAGACTAGTAATTACGACTTACTAAAGTCTGTTGGTTTAAAGATTATTAGGAACCTTAAGCAGTATTGCGAGAAGTGGATTAAGCCTTCCTCAAGTAGGTGGGCAAACAAATGATCTTTCCTCTCTTTTTTCATTATGCGTGATATAACAGAGGTGACATTTATTAATCCTTAGTTCTGGAATAGGTTTTTTTGGCAACTGTCTACATTTGGAGAAAACTTACATGACATCCCAGGTTTCAGAATATGAGCCTTCTTCTAAGGATGGTGTAAACATTTTAAGTAATGATGTTTGCACATCCAGCTCAGATATTTTGTAGGGAATCGATGAGACACTACCTTGACCAAAATCTGCATTCGACTTAATGGTCTTAACGGCAGAGTGGATAATAATGTGATCAAAGTTAGTGATATTAGGATTATTTACAACGGAAAGAATATACTAATAATCCTCCTAAATTGTCTTTTTGAACAGTGATGTTATTTCTTCGTTCTTTTTTGTTTTATATTTCAACCCTCACTCAGGTCTATTGTACCCATATCTTATTTTCTTCAGCCTTCTTCATCTTAACCAATTTCGGTTAGTTTTGGTCAAAGATTTACCATTAATGCCTAATTTTACTGTTTCATATAGCTCAATTCAAAGTTGCAACGCGGTTCAGTTGCTGATTGTTGAATTCGGTCGTAAAATGTGGAGACTATACATTAAATACATCATTAACAAGTACTCCATCAACTGTCCTTCACATTCTTTATGACAGTGCTAATTCCGAATTCCTTTATGTTTCCCTTCCTATTTTCTTCAGTTCAATCCCAAACTTCAGTTCCAAAACATTCCACTCCTGAGTGGCGTTACATACTACTTATATCTGTCGACATTAGAAGCATACACTACAATAGTATGTCATATTGTGAAATTATGGTCTAATTCAGTGTTAGTACATCAATCATTGTTACCATTACAATCGGCCTAATCACAAAATTGTCGTGTTGTCATGACGTGACTACCTAATCTATGAGATCTTACGTGAAAGCCACATCATCTTCTGTTCTGACTCGTTGTATCGTAAGAATCAGCAATACAATGTTCAGCACCTCTGAAGAACACATTTGAGCTGGGTATAGAATAATGTATTTTAATGTAAACATGGATTTGTTTCAAGGATGGCTACGCCTACAAGTCTGAGCCATGTTATACGATCACTTGTTCGCTCACTCACCATCATGAACTTTTCCAGGGTGTTACATGTCGAATGTAAATATTTTCAGGAGTTATATGCTCAGCTTGAAAGATCATGCTGTTAAAAACCAATACTTCTACACTACTCTCCCATCAGAATTTACGTAATGTTGGCTCGATACCAAATCGAGCGGGATTGTCGCACACAAGAAGTCGACAGCAACGCACAGGATATGCACTAGTTCACTCCACTTTACTTACAACTGAAATTCCATACGATGTCCACAAAATTACTAATGCCACAGCGCAGCCGAAAGTAGTAGGACAGACCAAGAAATGAAAGTGAGCTTTTGTTCATGAGATGTGGATAAAGTTCAATAAAGTCTATGGTCATGAAAATTTGTCCATATTTCAAGTAAAAAGCTACAATTAGAGCCTCTCGTATGCTACATTGTCTAAGAATAGTGTTACCAAACTCTAATATATTGGTAATGAAACCTAATTAACAGAAACTATATATCACATCGAATCCACCATAGTAAGTACTCTAGTCTCTGTGAGGCTAATGACTTATCTCACTGATGGTTATTATTAAGTCTAAAAAATGGCTAAGTGATTTGACTGTTTTTACCCTAAATTGGATGGAAAACAATTATATCCCCCACATGTTCTTTCATCTCTGACGCAAAAGTGGAACAGAGCCTCACTTGTTTTTGCCCAGAGGAATTCTTGTCACTTTCATATCCACTCTCTATACGCTTATCAGTGTATATGTACATACAAAAGCTCTACATAAATAAGATTCTCTCATAAAAATTTGTAGCGTGGGGTCGAGTCGCGGTAGACTATGAACACCTCTACCAAAAGCACGTGCCAAAATATCCATAAAATCCCCCGGAAGCCAAATATCAGAAGGCAGTTAATGGACCAAGTCGAGATATATTTGCTGGCGATCTCGTGGTATCGAAAGAATACCGAGATCGTGCCAGGATACAATCTTGGTTACAGAGCGTAACCGAATTCGCGCGAGGTCACAATCAAAGTGTGTGAATAATAATGTAAGCATAATATAACTGCCATTAGCACAGTTAAACAAAGAGCACATTAAACAAGCACAGGTACAACTGGTTATAATAATAATAATTGTTTTCATTAAACCAATCGTGTTCTCGTGAGTCACTACAAGTTAAACCATGACACTAGAAAATGAACAGTTATATATTTCTGCTGAACCATGTTTTAGGTTTTCATAATTTGTATACGGAAACAAGAAACGATAGCGAGAAAATCAGTCACCTGATACAAGCTAATTTCAAAAAGGGCAGTGAATTTTGTACTTGTGGTGATTATACTTGCTTTTGGTACTTATTGCACTAAGAAGCATTCTTGGTCGACTTTAACTAAGAGTTCTTTGGTTAAAGTTTGAAATTTTTGCTACATTTTGTCCTGAGTACCTGTTTTTAGTCCTTGACTAACACTTGTGTTCACATCGTTATCATTTTTTGTTTCTAAAGCTTTTAAATCGAATTACAATGGTTGGTAAGACTCACAAATGTGGGCAACCAAACTGTTTGTTCCCTGTGGAAGAGGGGATGCAGTGTGACGAATGCCATAAGTGGTTCCACAAAATGTGCACCCGCTTAAGTCCCACCGCATACAAAAGATGCTCGAAGCCTAACTCACATTGGCTTTGCATGTTTTGCTGTGCCAACAAGGCAATACTAATACAGGAGGCTATGAGCCTGTTGGCTTTGGCCTGTAAAAAGAAGGATGGCATATGCGCCGACAACACGGGCACTGACAGCGACGAATGTGTCAGTGTAGTACCTGCTGTTACGCGACGCCTCAAACAACCGACTCTGACTGACGTAAAAGTGGAATCTTCGTTGACATTAACAGGGGCAGTAGTACCACCTGGTACTGACATTGTTAATAATGCACCCTTAATGGGAACCGAAGATCTGGATAAAACAGTCACCGTTCCAAATAGTCTCAGTGTTATGAGGGATGAAAAATGGATTACGGTACGTAGGAAACGAAACGAAAAGAAAAAAGCTGTAAGCAGTACACAGGTAGTTAGTAACTCACTGGTGGACCCAAATTGTGAGCCACAAATTGCACTACCAAAATCTGAAGGTAAGAGTGAAACTCATCCTGGCGTGACTGAGAAGAAAAATCTAATAACATCGAATATTATTATGAGAAAATTGCGGGAGTCAAACGACCCTGATCCGAAAATTAGACACGCTCATGACTTAGAAAAGCTAGGAGAATACATTCGTAGTATTTTACCAGATAACTCCAAAGGAGTTCAGGTCAAAAAATTGGTAAGAATAGGCAAGAGGACCGAGGACAATGTTGAACCCCGTCCATGCAGACTCCTTAAGGTAATCCTAGGATCGGAGAAGCAACGGGATCTCTTGTTAAGTAGCGCTCGATGTCACGACAATTCTGACATCCGAGTTAGACCTGACATGTCTCTCGAAGATAGAATAAAAAGGAAGAAAGCACTAGCTGAACTTGAAACCCGTCGGCAAAACGGCGAGAAAAATCTCCGACTAGTGGGTTTTCGGATAGTCAGGTCTTGGAAGCGAATGCTACCAAGGCCTGTATGGATAGGCTGTTCTACTTAGGAGTTTTATATGCCAACGCTCGTAGTTTACGAAATAAGTTCTATGAACTAGAAGTACTAGTAGACAGGTTAAAGCCACTCATAATAGCAGTGACAGAAACTTGGTTAGTCCATGACTTAGACATTACTCCAGAATTATCCGGATACCATTGCATCAGGTGTGATAGACATAGATGTAGAAAAGGAGGCGGCGCCCTGTTATATATAGCCAATGGCATAAATATCCTCTCCTCTACTAGCGAATCCCATGATAGCGGCACTTGTGAAGTCATTAGCTGTAAGTTGGCAATAGGATGTAGTACATTTATGCTAGGTGTCATCTATCGAAGCCAAATCTGCTTAGCTGATGACTTTGTTTTAGAGCACATTCATCTTTGGAGTGATAATACCAGGTGCTTGATAATAGAAGACTTTAACGCACCTGATATTAGTTGGACTGATATGACCACAGAAGGATCTATAAACTCCTTTGATAGTAGGTTACTGATAACAATAATGTAGCATGCACTAGTGCAGCATGTATCCCAACCCACACGTTTTGGTGTTAACCAGGGTTCTTCTCTCCTGGATTTGGTAATCACTCATGAGACTGAGGATATTGTCGACTTAAATATTCTTCCAACGTTAGTAAACAGCGATCACGCTGTTTTGTCATTCGTGTTTAGAACTAGGGACATGTTATACGATCAGGTTACACCGCGCCCAAATGTATGGAAAGCTAACATATCAGCCATTCAGGAATGCGCTGCCAAGACAGATTGGTTAGTAGATACTAGCATATCAGTTGAAGAAGCATGGTCTGTATTTAAAGGTAAATTTAGACTAGTTACGTCCCCGTTCATACCATACCTGGTACCGCGAAGACCGAATAATAGTCCACCATGGATAACTAAAACGGTCAGGAAACTCCTTAGAAAAAGGAAGAATCACTGGAATATGTTCATCTCTACTGGCTTAGAACAATACAGATCCAGTTATTGTAAGATTAGGAATGCCTGTAAAGCGTTAATAAGCAAGACTAGACATTCATACGAAAAACAATTGGTTAGGGATTCTAGATATAGTCCGAAACGGTTATTCTCGTATATAAAAAGGCGAACTAAGAGAAGCGATGAAATTCCATCACTTTTGATGCGAGACAATCCGTTAATCTTAGCAGAGAATGATGCCGAAAAAGCTGAAGCTTTATCGGAATATTTTAGTAAAGTGTTTTCTATCGGTAATGAGGAACGACCAATGATTCATTGTGACCGTGACGGCTCGCTGATGGATCCTGTAGTCATTGAGAAAGATACTGTTTTAAGGCTACTTCAGCATCTCAAACCTGATAAGTCCAGTGGTCCCGATGATATTCATCCTAGGATTATGAAAGCCATATCAGATGAAATTGCTGAACCATTAGCGATACTATTCGACATGTCTCTGAGACAGTCCAGATTTCCTAAAGACTGGAAAGACGCCATAATAAGTCCGGTGTATAAGGCTGGGAGTAGGGATTTAGTTAGTAACTATAAACCCGTTAGCTTAACTAGTGCAGTTGTGAAACTGATGGAGAAAATCATTCGGATAGCTGTTATAAACTATGTTGAAGGGCAAAATCTTTTCTCCAGGGCACAACATGGTTTTCGGAAAGGCCTATCTTGCTTGACAAATCTTCTCATTGCACGAGAAGAGTGGGCTGCGGCAAAGGATCGGAATGCTCCTGTGGATGTAATTTTCATAGATCTAAGTAAAGACTTTGATAAGGTTTCACACTCTGGTCTTAAATTCAAACTGAAACGTTTTGGAATCCATAACACAGTCGTCGATTGGATAAGTACCTTTCTCCATGACAGGAGACAAAGGCTAAGGGTTAATGGGGCTCTCTCCTCGTGGGTACCTGTAAAAAGTGGGGTTCCCCAAGGCACAATCCTAGGTCCTCTTCTCTTTTTACTTTATGTAAATGAATTGCCAACTGTAGCAAAATCATCCGTTCTACTCTTCGCTGATGACATAAAGATTTGGAGACCCATACATAGTATGTCGGATAGAATAGTATTACAGGACGATCTTAGCTCATTGGTGGCATGGTTAGACAGGTGGTCACTAGAAGTAAATCCTAATAAGAGTGTAGTGATGCAGTTAAATAACTCTGATGAATCGTATGACTATACACTACGTGGATTCGTGCTACCCAAAGCAAGAAACTATAAAGACTTAGGAGTTATATTAAGCAATGATCTCAAAACGACTAGTCACTGTAAGGCTGCTGCTGCAAAATGCTATAGGGTATTATGGTCAATTCGTAGGTCTTTTCAGTATTTAGATGATGAAATGTTTGGATTACTATACCCGATTTATGTGCGACCACATTTAGAATACGGGATTCAAGCAGCGAGTCCTTGTTTCAAATATGAAGCAGATATGCTAGAAAGAGTCCAACGACGAGCTACTAAGATGGTACAAGGTCTATCTGGCCTATCTTATGAAGACAGACTGAGAAACCTCAACTTATTTCCGTTATCTTACCGTAGAGTACGGGGTGATCTAATATTGGCTTATCGTATACTGAACGGTGACCTTGGTATTAACATGTCTTATCTTTTGCTTCCGTCTAGAACCGATCATTTGAGAGGACATTCGAAGAAAGTTCAAAAACCGAGATCAAACCGTTTACGTCTGGAGTTCCGTTTCTCGCACCGAGTAGTGAATTACTGGAATTCCCTACCGGAACACGTAATATCCGCACCGTCTGTTAATATATTCAAAACGAGATTGGACCTCCACAGTATTACAAACTGCAAGGATTAATATAGGTCGACAGACCTCCTATCCTTATTACTGAAGACTGAAAACTATTGGATGCTAAATAGTGGTTGCTATAGCAACATTTTGCTCGTGATGCCAAGTTTAAATGACGGTCGAGATATTATGCAAAGTGATGATTTATTCCAAACTTCTTATGGAGTTGGACATCACTGGAGGAAAGGGTTTTATTTCCCTGATTCTGACACAATGGTATGATAATACTTTTCTACATAGTTCCTTATTTTGCTTTACAATTAAGGCCAAACTTAGTAAAAGACTTTCATGGAGTTTAGAGCCCGAATCTGCAGTTCAGTGTGACGATCAGTATCAAACGTCGAACAGGCTTGCGTACGATCGGAAGGTCCCGAAGGATTATTTAAAGTGTCCACAAAATCCTCTACCACCTCATCACTGGGATGTTCACTACATAAATGATTTTCGTTCACGATTTCTCCATGGAGGCCACAGAAGACCGCTAAGCCCAAGTCATCAGACAACTGAAACAAAAGAATCGTATGGTAGTGTTAATGGGCTCAGTGGACTGTGGCGTCCATTATCAATGCGACCTTTTGAAATTGAAGATCATCATAAGGATGGACCATCCAAAGTAAATCACTTATGTTATAGCATTAAACTTCAAGAACATCATCCCGTCTACTAAAAACGCTAGTTTATCAGGCAGAGTGTCATATCCCAAGGACAAAGAAATATTAAGATACATGGATCCATATCTTACGACATATATGAAAGACCATAGGGTTTGGAAACCTGAAGAACTAAAGGAAATATCTCAAAAGAATATACCGACATACTGGAATTCAACAGACTACTTGAAGTCAAACGTGTTTGGTTTAGACTCCAAGTATGTCAGTCTTACGTTATCTGTTTTGCTTAATTATGACCCTTTTTGTTGGAATCAGACTCCTGCCTTATTATTTTTTGTTTTCCACGCAAATGTCAAAATGATGGTTGCTGAAACAAACCGGCCATCGATTTCTGTTTTATTTCTTAGCAGCTGTAAGTTACTTGGAAGTGGACAAGTTTCTACCATCTAAATTTGTCATTTACCAAAATAAATCAGTCGAATGTTTTTCTGCACAAAACGGGAACTCATCTCAAAACACAGAAATTAATTTTACTACGCTTAAAAAGTAGAAACAATGTGGATGAAAATAGAAATTTCACTTGAGTTTCCCGTGAGATTAGCATTTGAGTTAGTTAAGAGATATTCTAGAGAGAATATTGATGGAGAGGAAGACGGATTTGTGATAATTATAAGTATTTGAATTATTGTATGAACTGGCAATTCCCGAAACAGTGCAATTTATGGCAATTAGAACCAGGTGATCAAAAACGAACGTGTGGTATTTGGAATTCGTAATCAGGCAGTCGACAAGTACAAAGAAATCATTAGTTCATACAAACACCATACCGTTACTCTGAATGAATCTGATACAAATCCAGGCGTTGACTAAGTCGTATATTTACTGACACGCTGTTGATACCAAACCACGGATATAATATAATGAGTAGCAACAAACTTGACTGGGTCTTATCATTATCAAAAATCTTGTTCATCCATATTGTCATTAAATTAGTCTGACAACTGGAGCTATCCTAACTTCACTATCGATCGACTGTACGATCGGAACCTCTGTCTTAAATAACAACATTATTGAATGTTTATAGTTTTAAAAACAAATTATTGCGTCTTCCTGTGAATCATGACTTTCGATCGAAAATAAAATAATTAAACTGAAATTAATCTGTATCTAATTTATAGATTTATCATCTGGATTCTTTCTTCACTTAATTTACTCAAAACAATAAATTTGACAACCAATAGACATTTGTTGTTGTTATTTATTTGTTACTAGACCAATAATAAAAGAAGGCATTGAAAACGAAAAACAACCTATGATTGACACACTGAAGTTTAATTGTCCGACAGAAAGCACTAGAGTACAACCGATTTCCCATCATGTAGCACATACGTAAGTTTCATCACTTTCCGAACATTTGGTTACTAACTTTTATACAACTAGCAAGACTATTTACTAGAAGATTGATTTTCAGCATCTTGCATGGACAACTGTCTACCAATAATTTTGAGTCTTTGGTGATGATTGCAGTAGTTTTCAAGGTTTTGACTCTACAATGGCACTTAACCATTAGACCACTGAGCCGGCATCCAACGGTGTTAATGTCTAACTTCAACCAATCCACGAAGTTGCGCCACCATGTACCATTGACTTCAGTGAGCTGATATCTCACAACAGACCTGGTTGTACTCCACTGGTAACGGCTTCCCACTAGAACTCCAGGAGTATTTCTTGAAGTCAGTCACTAGTGAGCAGATGATTATTATCAGAAGGGGTTTGTGGAGATTTTTGGAAATTTTCACAGATTGAAATCATGAGTCAGTTGAAGCTAGACCACCATTGAAAACCTGGAAGCACTGGACGGCAGTTTCGTCCTAGTATGGGACTCCTCAGAAGTGCGCATCCACGATCCCGCACCACGCGGGGCTGTTGTGAGATATCAGCTCACTGAAGACAATGGTATATGGTGGCGCAACTTCGTGGATTGGTTGAAGTTAGACATTAACACCGTTGGATGCCGGCTCAGTGGTCTAATGGTTAAGTGCTCGCACGCGAAGCCAGTAGGTCCTGGGTTCGAGCCCCGCGTGGTGCGGGATCGTGGATGGGTCTACAATGGCAGTTTTAATGTTGGTGTAGAAATTTCTGACGTTGGTGTTGTGCGACTATTGTTTTGAGTTTCAGACAATCTTCAATTTTAGAAATGCCTCTCTTGACTCGGGGGTTCGTGTCTTGACATCTGCATCCGACCCTCCTTGTCTGCTGATAATGCTATCCAGTTACGTGTAAGTGATAAATACATTTTTTGTTGTATCCCAGTGATTAGAAAATTATATTTCTGACATTTTGTGACTTGATGTAATGAAACACGATTTCCCACTCATTGGGATATAACAAGAAATATATTTATTATTAACTTTCTAACCGAAACTCGATTTATTTGAAACTACCAAGCCCAACATTGACTTTTACAGTTACATATAAGGTTCCAGTTATTCGTAAGCTTTGCCATTAAGTATAATTAATTTGATGGATTTTGTATTGTACTCCAAGATCTTGCTTTTTCCCTTGTGGATGTGGAAGCATATCAATACCGACGCTGTTGTTACACTGCCCATCTTCACCTACACTTGTCGTTATCTGTGCGATGGCATGGCCAAGTTATCTGCAAAGTCCGCATCATCTAGTTAAGTTCAAGGTGTCCACTGTATTCTGTGCTGCTTCTGAAATGTGGAAGTTGTTGTGCCTTTGAATCCGGCTAGTTATCACGTGATTCATTCGCCAATCGAAATACGACTTATTCAATCTTAGCACTGTGCGAAACTAATGACTAGTATGAGCAGCCTAGCCTCCTTATTGGTCCTTTATTCTCCTATCTCATCCAATTGAGTCCAGAACGTCAATAACAGCTTCCACTATGCGAACCATTTATTCCAAACATACTTGGTTTATATACCACACAGACAGACAGACTGCATCACACCATAAAATAGGAAATAGCATTTACACAAGATCAAACCAGAAAGTGGCTATGAAAGTGGAAGACTGCAATCACTATACTGAACACAACTTAAAAAAGTAAATCGTATAATAATAATAATCTATGGGTCAAAATGAAGCTTATAGCAAAAGACTAATAGATATACATAATCTAGTTTCTGAAAAGTTATATAATAATATGCATATACATATATAATATTAATCCATTAATAGTTCTCAGAAGTTATCTGTAATTTAATCTTCACTAGGACATAACAGAGGTCTTCATAACCGAGTTAACAGCTAGCACAGGGTGGATAGATGAGTATAGGAAACCTTGTTTGACACTAATATTTACTTGGGATTCATCTGCAAGCTGCCCTCCATCAACAAATTCGCAATCCAGCATCTCATAACTGTTTCGTGCAATTGTGACGGTGTTTCTAGGTACACTATACTGTCGAAAAAGACTCCACAATATTTTCCAGTGCACACCAATTTATGCTTTCTTATAATCAAGGAAGTTGATGTTTAGTGATGAGTTCCACTCATTTAGTCGTTGATTAATTATTTGTAGGGTCACTGCTTAGTTGACATGTGATCAATCCATTCGAAATGCAGACTATTGATCTCAAAGTTTGGCGTCTACTGAACCTTTCACCCGATCGTGTAATCCCTTCTTTCCTCGTACATTTACTTGTTTGATATATTGATGAGGTGGTATCCCTGTTTCCAGTTTGATGGTACTTGTTTTTCCTCCGAAATCTTTCTGAAGAGAGCATAGATGGTACTTACACTTGACTGTATGTCTGAATTGAGTGTTTCAGCTGGTATGCTATCTGGTCCTGTTCCTTCGTCATTCGTGATTTGTCTGATGTGCTTGTTAAATTTTTCTACCGTTGGACACTCTGGGCGACATGGCTCAGAACTGATCACATTGGCGTCGTTGCATAAATTCTTTGTCTTCACTTAAACCGTGAGATTAAAATTGCTTTATATCTTTCTACGAACTGATTCTTTCTCCCTGTGCTATACTCTTTGACACAATCTTTCTTTTATATATCACTACCATTGAAGTAACTACTTCCATGAATTTGGTTTTCATCTTGTTGTGCTAATGAGATGTGGCAACTTGGATCGATGCATATGTGTCTGGTCCTACGTTTTTGTTGACTGACCACGAAGTTGACTCCAACTGGATTTTAATTTTTGATGTATTGTAAAATATTGATTTTGAGAAGGAAAATATGCTATTAAAATCTTATTATGATCTGTGTGAGGCTTTGAAATGAGAGGTAACAAACATATGTTTTGTCATAGTTTAAAACTTCTCTGTTTTATTGGATGTCGATGTTTTCTGTACTTGATTTTATGATATTGAAGACTTGGTAAATATATATTATCCGAAGAAATACTGAAAAGTTAACTTTAATAACTTGATCAGTAAGAATCACAATAATCTCAGCTGTCATCTCCAAAGTAAGTAATAGATGTCGGTTGATTTCCTATCTTTATCAATTCTACTATTTTTTGATGCGAAATTAAAACGTGATTCTGTATTTTATTAAGCTATATACCTTATTCGTTTAATCAATATATTCACCTGAAATACCTATACTGATATACATTTTTGTTCTCCTAAAGAGGTTTTGAAAGCACTTACCAGTCGGAATACAAACAGCCCAATAGTTTATTAAGAAAAGCGGATAAAGTGTGCCCAACAGAAACACCATTCATTTTGCCAGGTATATTATTCTTGATAGTTGAGCTTCAATGTAATGTCAAAATTTTCTAAAATTATTATTATTATTATTTAGTACTGATTATCACTGAAAGTTAGCATGAGCTTTTTGTCTCATTCTGGCATAGTTTATGAACTAGAACAATTACATTTTGGTGAATGTGTCAGTGTTCTCATTGTTACGTACGTCCATAATTAAATGGAGTGTGACCAATCAAATTGTTCTTTAAACAGCCACCACTCTTACTCATTTGGATTTTAGCAAGTTCCGTACTTCGTTAGTTATCTATTAATACCACAATCTGTTCATAATTTCAAATTTTACTCAGAATTTATTCGTTTGGTGCATCTACTGGTACTATTTTTAGTAGATGAAGTCAAATTGTAATGGTTTTGACTGGAGCTTCTTTCAGCTTCTAGCTTGATAGTGTTACGCGTAGTGTTTCGACTGGAAAACTATAGGGAAAATAAACTCCGCACAAACTAGCATTGACATAAAAGAAACATTATATCAGGTGTGTAATTAACAATTCATGAGAAAATTTTCTACCTATTTATCTGGTTTTCCATATACAGGTTAGGTACTTCCTTTAAATATTGCTATTTTTAGTGGGTGTCGGAGGTTATTTATATAAAACAAAGGGTTCAAACTTACAACTTATTGTTTTAATTTCATATGCTTCAACCAATAATATAATTCCTTGAAAAAGTTTGGACTAGATTCCCAGGCGAAACGTTGTATTTACTTCAAATTCACTCTCTGAGATTCTGAAAATACATTCTTCCTCCTTAATGTCTCACGTCAACCCGGTGCCCAAATACTGTGAAACTATTCGATCAAATTTAGACGAAAGTTCTCATACAATTATTTAACAGCATGGGACAGATTTATATCAGCTATTTAATTTTTAATCATATTTTAAAAATAATTTAATATTATTATTCTTTTCCCTTATCAAGATCCTGGAACTGTCCTAGCCCATGCTGCACCAAATATGTATAAAACGGAATATTCTGTTATAGGTGAATATAAAAAAACTATACTGTAAAAGTTAACTGGTAAGTAGTAGAAGGAGCTAATTCACTCAGTTCTACATTGTATGTTCACGTACATACACACACACTGACGTACTTATTATCAAGTTCGATTAAACAGATGTAAAAATTATAAGTTTGTGAAATCAAACTATAATGTAATACCTTTCAATCGAATTATAATTTAGAATATCAAAATAGATTTATTTAAAATATTACAAAGGATAATTTTTCTCTCAATACTTTCTATTTTAATGAAATTAACATAATAAATGCTTTTGTTTACTTGTGCTATAGTTTAAGATGATACATATATGGCTGGTGTCAAAAACCTCGGCAAAATCACAAGTATAAATTAATATATCATGTTCACCAGGTGGCTGTCGGGACTCATTAGCTAAGTGGATAACGCGATGGCGTTTGAAGCGAACGGTACTGGGTTCGAGTCCCGGAGTGAACTTCAACTCGGATGCAGGTACATCCAGCTAATGAGTCCTGAATAGGGGAAACGTGCGTCTTGGATTACGCTGCTAGCCACTATCCATCTTTGTTTAAAGAACTTGTTACTTCAGACTATATCAAGGCAATCCGCACAGTATGCACATATGCCAACATGAGCCTGATCAATTGCAGTCCTAAATAGCAATGGGAAGATACAAGTAAAACAGCACCAAGTGAATTTACGTTTAGTTTGTTTCGTTTGTTTTACATAATCAAATATGCTATTACATAAACCCATAAGTCAGTAGATTGAATATTAAGTATGGAATTGGAATTCATCTTGACAGTATACTCTATAATTTATTATTACAGGTATTTTAAATGAAGTGCGTATGACATAATAAACAATCGGAGTTTGTTTCCGTCGATGGCTCTTTTTAAGCTCTATTGAGACCAACTGCATTTAGGAGAGTCCTTGTCAATTTCATGTGATTGCAGGTTACGAAGAGAAATTATTTCATTACAGTTTTTTTCATTTGCCTGACACATCCGCACTTCGAGCAGAATTAAGTAGTAAAATAACGGTGCTTCTTTCAAATTCGTCAGTTTTATTCTCTCACTCACCTACAAACAAGAAACCAAAAAATGACATGAACAGGAAAGGAAATTCAATCTGAATAGCATCATTCTGTACCTATGGTAATCAATTGCGGTCACTTAGTAGAGATATCGACATCACAAGTGGTTAAGTTCATTTCCATAAAAATAGTCTATACATTATTAATCCATGATAAAATCTGTTCTTACCTTTTTACACATTAGACCAGATACTTACGAATTAGAAAGGAGTAATATGTGTGATTATTTTTTCAGAAAAATGTATATTCCTCCTACTTAGAAATTTAAGCATAGTGTGATTATATGAAGATCACTGTTAATCGAAGATTGAAAGTTGGTTGAAGTACCTTGGAAATAGCTTAAATACAATCTACGCTACTTAATAATAGTTGATAGTATACATGAAAATAAATTGAACCACCAGGTATACTAGTTAGTATGTTTGGGTTAAAAATCATGTCGGCGTTTTAATAGTCATGAGAGCTTTTGCAACATAGAAAATACACGGAAGATGAAACGATAGGACACCAACTCTTTAATTGATTTCAATTAATGAGCGCTAAATCTGATAGTTATATTTTAGCATCATTCTTAATGCGTCTTTTGAGTATAAGAACTATACTACTTAATGGTGACTAGTAGCTCCAGTTGTATTTTATTTTTCAATACGACTTTCAGCATCACAACGGCTGATTTGCCCAGCTGCTTTATACGACTTTTCTCTTTGTTATAGTAATACCATCCTTTTTTCTCACTTAGTTTCCATTATGTGCAAGACTTTTTGAAACTATATTCTTTTTAAAATGATGACCTAAATTGTTGTTTGACACGGTTAAGTGCAGTTTTATGACTGAGATTAAGTGCTATAATTCTACTAATAAAGTAGCTGATGTCCAGACAATGCGATCCGATAGTTGCAAATACTTAGTACATATGTAACTTTCCATAATAGTATCAAATTATTGAACAAATATCGTCATATGTTTTCGCATGATTTACCTGTATAAGCCGTAAAACCTAGTGATCATTAATCAGCTATGTGTGGTTGAGACTATCCATCACATAGATATTGAACATTTAGTATACTATTAACATCCACAATAGAAGAAAACAATAAGTTCACCAGTAGTAAATTATAAAACGGATATTATTATATTTATGACCGAAACTTCTGAACCTTAACAGTGACAGCTCGTTATTCACCATCATGTATCGTTAGCAAAAAGGTCACCTTTTGAATTGAAGTATTAAAATACTATGAAGCAACAATGAAAGTGGATTTTTGTGCTTCTGATGAGTTACCCATTGACTCAGAGGTATAAATTAGACAGAATATATCACATCACATATATATCATAGGCCTATTGACTGACAGATTGTTAAGGACGTATTGATTGATGACTAGTAGTTAGTTCAAACATTTGTTCATATTTCTACATATATATTTATATACGACTATCTATGTATACATGCCTTTATTCATATATATAATCGTCATCTGAGCAACAATCAAATCACACTTGACGGAGAAGATTTGGAAGGTGTAAAAACCTTCACATATCTGGGCAGCATCATTGATGGAGACGGTAGATCTAATGAAGACGTGTATGTGCGGATCGACAAAGCAAGAGCAGCATATCTAAAACTGAAAAACATATGGAACTCAAAACAACTGTCAGAATTTTCAGTACAAATGTCAAGACAGTTCTACTGAATGGGGCGGAAACTTGGAGAACTACTACAACCATCATCCAGAAGATACAAGTGTTTATTAACAGTTATCTATGCAAAATACTTCGGATCCGTTGATCAGACACTATCAGCAACAACCTACTATGGGAGAGAACAAACCAGATTCCAGTGGAGGAAAAAGTGCTAGAAGTGGATAGGACACACATTGAGGAAATCACCCAACTGTGTCACAAGGCAAGCCTTCACTTGGAATCCTCAAGGTCGAAGGAGAAGTGGAAGATCAAAGAACACATTACACCAAGAAATGAAGACAAACATGTGAAGAATGAATGACAATTGCATAAAACTAGAAAGGAAGGCTCAGGACAGAGTGAGTGGGTTTGAGAATAGTGGTCGGCGACCTATGCTCCATTGGGGGGTGACAGGCATAAGTAAGTAAGCAAGTAGTGAATGTATTGCAGTAACTTTCCGCTCTTTTGAATGGTGTCCGTACACAACTGTTCTTGTGACTGTGAGGTTGTTTCTGCTTTGGTTCGGTATTTAATCAGCGTGACTTCTTGTACACTTCTAATTCAAACGTTTCTGTATTTGTTCCGTTTATTAAGACAATCATGTATGGAATTTCGTTTTATGGTTATTCTTCTATTGTGTTATCAAAGATGTAGTTAATTAATTTACGAATAAATTGAATGAAACAAAACAATAAAATATCAATAACTTAGTAATATACTTCTACATATTTCAGTTACTGTCTGAAGTCATATTTTCTAAATAATGTGGTTTATTTATTTGTTTTCAATGCGACGTACATGAACCTAAAATTTGTTTTGTGATCAGTATCCAACGAATCTACATCTATGCCGGCCCAATGGTCTAGAGGTTAAGCGTTCACACGCGAGACCGAGGGTCCTGGGCTAGAATCTCGCGTTTGGGATCGTGAATGCCCAATGCTGAGGAGTCCCATACTAGGACGAAACAGAAATCCAGTGCTCCCAGGTTTTCGATGGTGGTCTAACATTGATCAATTCATGATCTCAATCAAAAACTCAACAATCTCCATAACCCCATACTGATATCTACATGTATATATCAATCAATCAATCAATAAAAACCATTGCAATGTACTGTGTTACAATCTATTGAAAAAATGAACATCTAGATTACGTAATATGAATAATAAAAATAAGATTGTGTATGCAAATAGAAAGCCTTGTAAAATAGTAAGTTTACAAAGCTTTCTATTTACATACACACGATTTCTTATTGTTATTATTCATGTTACATCTACTATTACAATCTATCTATAACATCATCATATTTATTCTTTGTTCATATATCCTCACGGAACAAGTACATTGACAAAAAATTTTCACATATTTATATACGATTGTACAGCTTGATAATAAATATCAAATAAGCTAAATATATCCTGTTTTTAGACTAACATTCAGCCAAATGTAATAGTTTTAGTATTTCAAATGGATGGCTAGAAAAATAGATTAAGGTTACCATCAAAGTCAAACGACCAGATCTCTGATTCCTTTCTAAACATTTTAATCGACCGAACAATAATGCTCAACTACTATTACCACATTTGAGCTTTCAATGGTCAACTGTTGTTGTTGTTGTCGTCGTCACTGAAACTGCTCGTGAAAATGTATGAATCACTGATGTACATCTGTTCTCATTTTGTCACATTAGCGTTCTGTCTAAGATTCTATGCTTATTCTAGTTTAAATCATGATTAATTAGGTTGAACGAACAACTGACTGATTAATTGTATTTAATGCTTTAATAATAGTTTCAGTTGGACATGTTCAGTCATATGTGACCCTGACTTGTGATCTAAAAAATTTATCATACATAACTTGTTAAATATCAGAAAAAAACTGAAATTTTATATTAATTTAATCAAATCGATCAAACAGTTATATGTTAGGTAAAATGATGAAAACAAACTAGAATAATGGTTTGCAACATTGTCTATTCTCAACAGATTCTTTAAATATGAGCGGGTCACATTAGTACTAGGAGATTGTCACATATGTAGCTACCGTCAGAATAAGAATTCTTCAATACTTTTAATACTCTCTGGGTTTAAATAATTGAATTTAATTGGTACATGCCTTAAACTTGGGTTTCATCCTATTTGGCATTCATTTAATGGATATATTCATTTATATATGAAGAAAATTGTCTTCATCCAATCTAAATCATTACAACATTGATGTTAACTG